CAGGAATTAATCTGCATGCTTTGGAGAGAGAAAACAACCAAACAAAAAAATCTTTTCTTTTGTCTTTTTACCTTAAGACTGCAAAATTTTCTTCCTACTTGAGACAGTGTCATGCTCTTTTAATACAAGTTTTCCTGTAACTTTTTTTTTTTCCTTTTTTGATTCCTTTGGTTAATTTGATCTGATTCTGTTATCTAGGGACTTACATTTAGCATGTTGGTCAAAATATAATGCATTCCCTGTTTGTTGGTATATCAGGCTCTTTACTTGGAGGAATAACTCCGTAGCTTCTCTGAATGTGTTGGTTTGTGACTCTTAGCTTGTGTACCTTAAACTGCTATAGAGTTCATTAGTTTAGCAGTGGGATTAGACTAAACAGAACAGAAGGCATAAGAAGCAGAATCAGGAAAAGCCTTTGAATACTGGATAACTGTAGTTCTGCATAGCTATTCATTTATTTTCTTTCATCTTGTGCTTTTGTGATTCGGTTAGTTTTCCCATCCTACTTCTATTCTTATCTACGTTTTTCACTGCTTCTCTCCTTCCCTTTCATTCTGCAAATAGATGTCTACAGTTTCATTTAAAATTATTTCCTTCAATGCCCTTTAAAGCATGCTCTTATCTTCCTCTTACATTAGATGCATTAAATTCTTTCCGACATCAACATTACCTCTTGATTAAATTACAGCCCTGAATTCAATTGGGTGTCATGTAGTCTTGGCTAGATATAAAGCAATATTAGTTTTATAATGATACCTTATGTTTCTCTTTTCTTTCCACTAAGCGTTTTACTTACAAGAAAGAGAGATTTTCTTTGGTGCAAGCTTTCTTGCAAAATGTTTATATACGTGGCCTTAAGAGAAAAGCAAAAGAGACACAGTGCACAGTTATTCTTTTTCTTGTACGTTATCTTTACGCTTAACCTCGTGATGAATCTCCCTCATAATCATTCATGAAGTACACACCAAGGGAAGCACCCTCCCTCATCAAATGAATTGGTAGTAGTTCCTATCTGTGAGCATGGAGCTTGCCATCACGTCAGAAAAACTCGCCAACTTCTTAATTTGTTTTCAGAATAGAAGTCAGATTCATATATTGAGGTTCTACTGTTATCAGCAAACTAGACTAAGAATTATTTTGACCCTTCTTTTGGGAAAGCTATATAGGTTTTCTTAATCAGAATTGGAAGTTATATTTAATTGTAAATTAGGTATAAAAAAAATAGAAATAAAAAAATGATCCCTCTTGTCTACTCACTTGTGCTGTTATTTCATTTTAGGTAACTTTCAAAGCATCCAGATATTCAGTTTCACCAGACTTAAGGTTTGTTCTGCTCGCGTACGACGTTAAACAGGTAAGTCCTCTCTACTCATGCAGTCTGCAGAGCCTCTGAATGAAAGCTCAGAAGCACTTGTGGGTTTTGTCTGCAGTTTCTCATGATATATTTGGATTCAGATGCTTGTTTTCTCTGGACAAAACTTGGTGATGAAATAATGATGTTTAATGATGTATGGAATCTCTGACAGACCTGGCTGTGAGGAAGCATCGTGCTGCTTCTGTAGCAGAGCTGCCCTAGTTCTTGAGCTGCTCTGGCTGTGTTGGGTGCCAGCTGATGGCTCAGTGTTTCTGCCTGGCCCAAGCAGATGTGTCTCGGTTATGTGCTATCCTGAATGAAAATCCAGGCTGATTCCAGTTTTACACAAGTCTTATTGGTTACTTGAGTAGTCTGAAACTGTGCAGTGTAAGTCTTGGCCTCCAATGTTGGCATTGGTTCTTGTAGCATGTAGATAACGGAGATTTTGTAGGTTATTATTTTGTCAAGAAGAGTTTCAGTCAATGATACTGTAATAGAATTTTCTAAAACAATAAGCCTTTGAACACAAAACTGAAAAACATTTTATGAACTTTACCATCTGTATACAATATTACAATACAGTATTACAGAATAGTTCTAGATTGATAGACTAAGTATGTATTAAGCTATTATTTTCTTTTAAATTTTGGAACTGTAAACTTTAAAAGTACCTATGAGTTGCTTTAACATCATAAAATCTGTGTTCAAATATGGGAAATGATTAATACTATTCCTTTTGTTATACTATGGAATCACAGCTGTGTTTCATGTTGGTAGCTGATGGTACAACATCTGTGCGTTGTGCACTGACTTTCTTAGAAATTCAAATGTGTATTTGCTGGTGAACATGGGAGATCTTGGGGCTTCCTATTGATACTGTTGTAATCGTCTGCATACCTGTAGTTGCAATGATAATATCTGCAACCTGGAATGTTATGCTGAAAGCTGATTGGAAATATTCTAAAGGTTTTGATGTGAAATGATTCCTTTATTTGAGGCTAGATCCAAAACACTGAGTATTTTTCCTGTTAATTCCAATGGATTTTCAATCAAATACTTTTTACAACATATATTGACAAAGTAAAAAGGAAGCAATGATGCTAACAACAACACCCAATTCTCTGTTTTTGTTGTGGAAGATTCTGCTTTGATTCCTGCCTGCAAAATACCTGCTGATTGCTCTTTTTTTTTCTTTATTGTCTCTTATTTTGTGAAAAAGTTTATTAATCCTCATGTGGATTTAATTTCCTTCTTTGAAATATCGCTGGTTTTGTTTCAGATGGATTGTTTGCTTGAAAGGTTTTTAACGATTGCATGTATAGCTGATTGAGAAAAATAGAAGAGGGAAAAGAAAGCATTTTTCAGTCTTTCTTGCACAGAGAATCTGAATGAGGTAACACCAGGGGTGAAAGTCTGTTTTGCATCAAGCCATGCACAGGGCTCAGCTATATCAATGGCAAAGACTGAAATGAGGAGAAACGAAGGCTTGGCAAGCACTTTAGCATGGTAGGATGGGTTGGCTTTGGGTGACACTTGTGCTGCCTCGCGAGTGCCCCAGCTGTGCTCACAGCTGCCAAGCCAGAAAAATACGACGCTTGTGGCATCCTCTAGAAGTGACAGTGATGGTGATAATATTGCTTAATGGCTGCATGTTGTCTGCTAGATCTTCAGTTGATGCAAGTCATAAGAGTGCTATTAAATACAGAGTGGTGCTGTAAGAATCTGTTCTTTAGGGTAGAAGTGAAAATCTCTATGAAAAAATGTGAGATGTAACTCTTTGACAGCTTAGAAAAAAATACTATGGTGCAATGGGGTCAAAGAACCTTTTATTTATTATTTATTTTTCCTCCTCCAAAGTTTACAATTCTTGACATGCTTGTTAGGCAGCCAGGGGGCCCGGGTCCTTGATGTTTGCTCAGAAGGGTTGCAGGCATAGACTTGTATAGTGAAGCACCATTTCCTTCTGCTATCTAATACTTACTATCATGAGGGTTATGTAATGTTTATTCTCCATGAACCCTCTTTTTTTTTTTCTTTTTTTAAATTTTCTTTTTTGTTTTTTTTTTCTTCTTCCTCAATCAGAGCTTGAATTCCTAGTTGCAAGTAAGGGAAAATCCTCCTGTCCAGCTTCCTCCTCCTCTCACCTATTAACCATCAAATAAACCTCATAAATCAGAAATTTTCAAATTGTGTTCAATAGGATGAGGCTGGTTTTCTGAGTTTCTGAACACGGCTGTGCTTGAACACATCCCTTCACCAAACAGAGGTTTCGCTTTTATCATCTATCACAGCCCAGTAGATGATAAATGTGGAGCTTTTAATAACAACCAGTGCAAGGAACCACGAATAACTTTTAATAAAGATTTATTTGATCTCAGCACCTGATGTAAATTGGCCTAGATCTCTGGACTTTACTAGCTGTGTTTGTCCCTTATTTTCCCTTATTTGTTCTGGGCTTAGGTATTTTATTGCGCTGTAGCATATTTGATTGGGTTTCTGCTCTTGCGGAATAATAAGGCTTTGGGGTTTTAAAAATGATAATGGATGTTTACATATATTAATCTGTGTTCTTTGCAACATACAGTAATACAGCTGGAACGGATTTATTAATCAACAGTTTTATAAATAAGCTAGTGTGGTTCAGCTGAACAGATTGAAGAAAAATAGAGACAAATGTTTCTTGAAGACACTTTGTCACAAAATTGTAATTAGAAACAAGGTTATTTTGATATTTGGATTAAAAATAAATGTTGAGTTAAATTAAATAGTTGAATATTTATTTTAGTGTTGTCAGCATTTTCTTTAATCTATTTTATGCTTGGAATGGCAAACTTTAATTAAATTTGCAGTTGTTTCAGCACAATTAAGAATGTCCTCTATGCATAACAGGACATAAATCTGCATGAAAATAAGCCATCTTTGAATACAAAAGTAATAATTGAATGAATCATTTAAATCATGCTTAATAGAAGGAACAAAACCATTTTGTCTGGCATAACAGCTGTTTTAGTATAGCTCTATAAACTTCATGTAGAAGAACACTCCTTTGCTAAAGAACTGAAAATGTTGTAAATTGACATTTGACATTGAATCCGTCCATCTTTATTGCAATGGGTTACAGAGAGTAGCCAGTGTTACTGGCATAAGCACTCCAGCTCTCCTGCATCTTTTTTCCATGATAGAAAGGGCAGGCTGTGGCAATTTTAGAGGTACTTTCTGGGTATTATTTGCTACAGTTTCCTCTTTTTACCATTAGTAATGCCTAGTCCTTCTCTGTCAATATATGCTGCATTATGTGTGTGGTTTTTTTACTTCCTTGTTCAGAAATATACTTAAAAAGGCAGATTTAAGTTCATCTCTAGTCCTGAAGCATGAGCATGCTGCAGAATGTATGCTTATGCCTTAAAGATTGCAAACGTTTTCCTGAATTAGAACCTCAAACTGCAATATCTTTCGGCTAGAGGAATTTAATAGAATAATATAGAATGATGTATTTAGTTTATAGTGCTGTGGAAATAACTTTTAATAAGCCCTGTGGTAGGAGTAAGGTGGAGAATAAGTCTTTTTGAAACAATAGGAGAAAAGCTGAATTGGAGATCTTGACTTTTTTGGAATTCATCAGTGAGCAGTGGGTAAAAAAAAAAAAAATCTGCAGTTTCCACTGAATATTTGTAGTTTAATGTATCAAAGGAAAGATGAGAGCCCGACACGATGCCTGCAGTAATGAGAACGAGGATGCTTGTCTGCTGCACGTTGATGCCTGTCATCACTTTGCTGCCCTAATACTGTTTTTAGCAGATAATGACAGGGAATGGTGACCGCAGCCCGGAGTGCGGCGAGCGGTGCCGGGCTCGGAGATCGCCTCCGATAGCGGCTTCCTCGAGTGCCCTGAAAGGGTCTCCAGGAGTTTATCTGCAGATTAAAAGAATCCGTGAGGGGGAAAAATTCAATGAAGTCTTAAATTCTGATTATCTGTTCCACTTCAGGAGATTATCTTCCTGCCAATTATGTAGAAACTGAAAGTTCAGTTGTCAGTAATCTTCTTGGTTGGGGAGATTAATTATTGGATTTTTTTTCTTGAGGGAGAAAAAAGAAGAGGACAAAGAAATGGCCTTGCCTTATTTCTTATTTTTAATCAAGAGACTGGTCAGCATTAAAGTGAGAAGGAAAACACGTGCAGATGGTTTGAACGAGGTGGTTCAGTGCTTATGAGAATCTGACCTTAAACAGTATTTTGTGGAGTGATGTTCTAGTTAGTAGCGCAACAGTAAAGAATTGAAATGTGTCTGGTAAGACTTAAATGTTAACACCCTTGTCTGTTAAGTCCAAAAGAAAAACCCCCAGGCATTTACTTCTGAATTTAGGACATCTTCATCTGATCTCGACATAACTTCTTCCATTCATTTGTATTTCAAAACATTAAAAGACCAATTTTTATCAACTTTAGAGCATGAGAGAGAGAAAAATAAATAAATAAAAACAAGAAGGGATTTTTAAGTTAAATCCATTCCCAAATTCCTGTTATTTCTTGTAAATACTTCTGTGGTATGTTTTATTACATACAACAGGAACAGGTTTCTAACAGGTCAGATATTAAGGGACCCATGGAAGAGGGCAACTGGAATTTATCCCATTTATAGGCTATTTCTCTACTTTTGTGTTGAAGTTTTAATTGGATAAATCAGAATATCTTGCATCAGAATAGCTCTATGTCATTTTGGCAAATCCCTTTGATTTTTATGGATCCACAATGTGGCATTTTACAGATCTAAAAAGGCAAAACTTTGCCTAAGGAGATGACATGTCTTGTAGGAAGTCTATCAAAATTAAACTGGTCATGGTACGCGCTGTCATGAGTTCTCCCATTGGAATATTCGTACAAATAGGTATTATATCCAGACTTGTATCTGAATTCTGTGCTAAAGTATAGTAACCACAGCTCCTGCTTAAATGGAAGGAGGTTGGGGGTGGGAACATGAAATTAGAGAAAATAAGGGAAT